CATCATCAACAACATCAACAACACCATCATCATCAACAACATCATCAACACAATCACCATCATCACCTCCTCCTGCCCGGCCCCACCCCCCTCTTGTTGTCTCCCGCAGCTCGAGCCGGCGGCGGCTACGAGCAGCAGCAGCATCATCATCAGAATCATCATCAGCAGCATCATCATCATCAGCAGCATCATCAGCAGCAGCATCATCAGAATCATCATCAGCAGCATCATCAACATCAGCATCATCATCAGCAGGAGCAGCAGCATCATGGCCACGTGGACGCTGTGCTTGGGCAGCAGGACGAGCTTGATCTCCATGGCCGGCATCCGCTACGAGGGCACCCTGAGCGGGGTCAACACGGACGACTGCACCGTCGCCTTGGCCAAAGGTCACGCAGGGGGTGGGGGGGGGGTCACGGGTCAAAGGGGGTGAGGGCTTAAACACTTCCCTGCTCCTTGCGGAGGGAGCTGCTAGGAACACGTTGGCCAGGGTCAACGACGGTGACCAGGGCGTGGGGCGTGCTGTGTTCTGCAAACATGGCCGACTGTGAGGGCGGGCAGCACAAGGCGGCGTGAGTAGGTGAAACGTTGAGTTTTATAAGGGCACCACGGGGTGAGCAGCCCCTCCCCACTCAGCCCCTCCCCACCCAGCCCCACCCAGCCCCACCCTCCCCACCCAGCCCCTCCCAACCCAGCCCTCCCACCCCCCACCCAGCCCCACCCTCCCCACCCAGCCCCTCCCCACCCAGCCCCACTGCAGGGATTCATCTTCTTGGTTCTTTCGGTAAAGTCACGTAGAAGGGAAATAATAAAATAATAAAAATAAAACATAATAAAATAATTCTCACGACTTTTCGGCCACAACGCAAGCAGCCGTCCTCAGGTGAAGAACAGGTCTGTCGAGAAGACAGAGTCTGAATGACACGCCCCAGGCTTGGAACGTCTATTTAAGCTTAGAGTCGTGGCATCTCTTCAGAAAGGTGAGAGACTCGATTATCCCGGAGTTTGTTGAAGGATCTTAAAGTTTTGTGTTCTTCACCTGAGGACGGCTGCTTGCGTTGTAGCCGAAACGTCGTCAGAATTATTTTATTACGTTTTATTTTATTATTTTATTACTTCCCTTCTACGTGACTTTACCGAAAGAACCAAGAAGATGAATCCCTGCAGTCACGAAAGCTTTAAATCGAAAAAAGTCAGTGATTGCTTTCGTGTTAAAATACGGTGCTGTATTTTAGGATAGTGTGTTTACAATATCATTTTACGTAGATATCCACATTCACTTAATATTTTTCTTCCGCAAGTTTTTTTTGAAAATGCAATATTTGACATCATCTCAAAAACCCGATGTGATAGACAAAAACCGACGCCAGGGTTGGGATGAAACGCACGACCTCCGATAGACACCAGGCGAGGTGGTTCACTTCTCACCACGGTGGCGCCCACACACCACCACCACCACGGCACCGTTAGCGGCGTTAGCGGCGTCTTTGTGCGTGCGCAGTGCGTGTGTGCGGCACGGAGGGTCGCCCCGCCGAGCGAGCCGTCGCCCCTCGCGAGGAGATCTACGACTACATCATCTTCCGTGCCAGCGAGATCAAGGACCTGGCGGAGTTGGGGTGCCCGCTCTCCGCTCTGCACCCCCACCTGGCCGTCGTGCAGGTGAGAGGGGGGCAGCCGTTCTCTTCGCCGCCAAACTGGTTGGTTACTTTAGCGGGCAGGACCCCACCGAGATATTTAACTCTGATCATTGGTTGTTTACCCTGTAATCTGGCAACAAAACTGACACCTTTTTTTACAAGGAGTCGTGTTTGCATTGACCACAATACCTGCGGTCGGAATGCAAAAAAAAACACAACTCTGATAATGTATGCACTGTCCTTGAAATTGATTGGTCCATACCCGAGACAGCTTTCCTTAGAGCCTAGTCTCACATGGAGTTGGACAAGATGACTGCCAAAAGGCGCACAACTCAAAGACAATGCACCATCAGAGTATGAGAGCTCGGAGTAAAGCATTTACACCATTGGAACCTCATTTGCCAGTAGAAAAATATGATAATTGTTTTTTTACCCTTCTATCTGGCAACAAAACTGACACCTTTTTTACAAGGAGTCATGTTTGCATAGACCACAATACTTGCAGTTGGAATGCAAACAAAAAACATAACTCTGATAATGTACGCACTGTCCTTGAAGTTGATTGGTCCACACCCGAGACAGCTTTCCTTGAGGCCAGTCTCACATGGTGTTGGACCAGATGACGCCAAAAGGCTCACAACTCAAAACATGACTCCTTGTAAAAAAGGTGTCAGTTTTGTTGCCAGATAAAAGTGTAATAAAGGACTCGGACGCTTCTCTCTGACTTCGTGTCCTTTATTGGGTTCTTGTCTTTTCCCACACGGCACTCTCTTATAGACACTCTATTTGTAGCCCCCGGCTGCTATCGCTATTGTAGCCTCCTTCCTCTCCCTGCAGACTCTCTGCTTTCTCTATTGTAACCTCCTTCCTCTCCCTGCAGACTCGCTGCTGACTCCCTGTGCAGATCCCCGCTGCTTACTCTATATGCAGACCCTCTTGGCTGCTACTCCGTATGCAGACCCGCTGCTGACTCTGTATGCAGCCCCGCTGCTGACTGCAGCCTCCTCGCTGCTTCGGGTCGGTCACCGCTGGCCGACGGTGCCGATCCTCGCTCCCCGTGTCCGTGGCGATCTCGCCACCCTCCGCTTTCGCCCTTCGTGGCCTCTCTCGTTCCTGGTCTCCCATCACTCCCTTTCCTCTTCCGGTTCCCTCCCTCTATAGCTTAACCCCTCTCCCCCACGTGACCTAACTCCTCCCCTCATGACGTCACTTCCGGAGGGCCGTTTACGCCCGCATTACAAAAGGATAAAAAACCAATTATCATATTTGTTGTTACTGGACACGCTACGATTGATCCCGTCGCTGCGTGACCACCCACCCTCGCCCCCGTCCAGTCCTCCTCGTCACGGGGCGCCCGCCCCCTGCGGGACACGCAGCACGGAGCCCGCGGCGGCCACGGGGGCGGCACGCGCGGAGCCCGCCGGCTCGTGCGGGACACGGCGGACGGGCGGCGGCCTGCACACGGAGGAGCCACAGGTACGGGCGGCGCGGTAAACGCTGGGGATGCAAAGGTGGCCGGGCGTTGTACCGCCCGCCCGCCCGCCCCCTCTTGCAGCCAGCAGCCTTTGCAGGTGCTCGCTAACGGAGCTTATCCTGACGTCGTACGGAAATCCGATGTTTTTTTATTTAAATCCTTTATATTAAGTTCACTTGCTTGCGCGCTTAGGACCGTGCAAATCTTTCGGCCGTTTTTTAACCCACTTCCCGTGATGCAATCGAGCTGATATTTTGCACACAGACTCGTTGTGCGTGACAATTTATGTTCGTGAATTTTTTTTCCAAAATTTTACACTTTTTAGGACAAAAATTATATTTAATTACCAATTTCTTAATGCTGCCACGCAATCATCTGACCCATAGGTGGCAGCCATCTCAAGCCAGAGGACCGAGAGGACTCTAGCCCGCCACGCAGATAAAGGATTTATAGTGAAAAACTTAGTTTTTACGGGTTATACTTGTTTAAATCCTTTATATTAAGTTAGCTTGCTTGCTTGCGCGCTTACGACCATGCAAAAATTTTCGGTCGTTTTTTAACCCACTTCCCATGATCCGATCGAGCTGACATTTTGCACACAGACTCGTTGTGCGTGACAATTAATGTTCGTAAAAAAATTTCATATTTAATTTAAAATACCAATGTGATAAAAATGAAACTCTTACTCAAGAAAAACAGAAATGAATAATAAAATAAAACCGATGCCACGCATATAAAGGATTTATAGTGAAAAACACATGCACACACACACACGCGCACACACGCACTCACACACACTCACACACACACACGCACACACTCACACGCTCACACGCACACACACACACTCACACACGCACTCACACACTCACGCACACACTCACTCACGCACACACGCACACTTCAACACACCGCACACACTCACGCACACACGCACACTCACACACCTCACACACACACACTCACACACACCACACACACACAATCACACACACACTCACACACACTCACACACACACTCACACACACTCACACACACTCACACACACACTCACACACACACACTCACACACTCACACGCAGCTGCACTATCTCCCACAGCCGCGAGGAAGAGCGCCACGGTGGAGCTGGGGGTGCAGACGTCCCCCCAAGCGTCAGCAGCGACGGTGTCGGAGCACGAAGCGGATTGCCGCCCAGACTCCCCGTGGGGCACCGGAGCCGTGCGTTGAGTTGGACGCGGAGTTTGACTTTGCTGAGCGCCAACGCGAAGTTGGACCGCGAGGCGCTGGACAGGGAGTTCCGGGGCAGGGAGGCCAAGCGGAGAGAAGGTGGGGCACTCACTCACACGCTGCCGCCACTGATCAACAACTAAGTCACGTAGGTAAAAATTAAAATTAATAAAAGTAAAATAAAAAAAAATAAAAAAAATAAAAAATCACGACGTTTCGATTAATTTTAATTTTGCTGCTGTATCGTCAAAATAGAAATCTTGTCACTCAATTTTTAGAAACTTCCCAATGTGGTACCCACTGCAAACTTGGTAAAGCTGCGTCATACTGGGGTGGGGGAACTCACTCACACGCTGCCGCCACTCAACAACTCACTTCGTCCTCCGCTGCTGTATCGGCAAAATAGAAATCTTAGTAGTAGGTTTTTACCCTTTTAAACTGGTACAAAACTGACACCTTTATTCAAGGCATCATGTTTGCAATAACCACAACACAAGTAGTCAACAAAGCAAACAAAAAGAAGCAACTCTGATAATGATAATAATATGCACTGTCCTTATCATCATTATCAGAGTTGCTTCTTTTTGTTTGCTTTTTTGACTACTTGTGTTGTGGTTATTGCAAACATGATGCCTTGAATAAAGGTGTCAGTTTTGTACCAGTTTAAAAGGGTAAAAACCTACTACTATATTTTGCCAATGGTAAAAGAGATCTCATAGAATAGAAATCTTGTCACTCAATTTTGACACACTTCTCAATGTGGTACCGACTGCAAACTTGTCATCATCACGGTGGCTATGAGATGTTAACTACCTCGCCTGGTGTGCAGGAGGGCGTGGGTTCGATCCCAACCCTGACGATGCCTGCTGCTGTATATTTGGAGTTTGTGTGTTTCTCTCATCATCATCATCACGGTGGCTAGGAGATGTTGACTAACTAAATTACCTTAAAACCGTTGGAATACCTTATGCCAGTAAAAGTGTGTTGACCATCTTCTTGGATCTTTCGGTAAAGTCATCACGTAGAAGGGAAATAATAAAATAATAAAAATAAAACATTAAATAATTCTCACGACGTTTCGGCCACAACGCAAGCAGCCGTCCTCAGGCGAAGACCAGGTCTGTCGAGGAGACAGCGTCTGAATGTGTGTTGACCAGTGGAGTCTTGAGTTGGGTGGGGGGGGCGGATCTTTGTGTGTTTAATTGTCCAGGCCACCCCCTCACTTCTGCCGTTGCGTCTCCCCTTGAGCAGCGGACAAGCTGAGGGGTCCCCGCACGAGCTCCCCCGTCTTCCTGGACGGCTGCTTCTACGACAAAACCAGGAGCTTCTTTGACAACATTTCCAAAGACGGCGGGAGGTAACGGCCGCCTCTGCCACTCGCTCGTGGTGTGTGTGTGTTCTTGTGGATCTCCTCGCCTTCAAGTGCAACGCCTGCTGGGGGAGGCGATGGGGGAGGCGGCAGTACAGCAAGCGGGCTCCGTCTCCGTCTGTGCGGAGATGGTGTTGCTGTTCCACCCCCACCCCCCACCTCGTGTATAGAACTCACAAACGGAGTTTGGCCTAACCATCCCATTATAGGATGACAGAGCTTGGGCAAATTGTTTGTGCCGTTCCTGGCACATCTGGAAAGTTTGGGCGTCGCAAAATGTGTGACGTTAACTTGAATCGGCGCGCCAAAAAAAATTGCACGCCGCGTGAATTGCGTAGTTGCACTTGATTCGGAAAAAATCCCAGCCCCGAGAATAAGAGAAGGACGTGCAACTCTTTGACTGGGCACCAGACGAACATTTGTCTAGACGCAGGATGGCGTGGAGCCGTGCAGAGACCTCTCTGATGTCGGGTTTAGACCATTGGAACATCATTTGTCAGCAGTAGCAGAATATGATCATTGTTTTTTTACCCTTTTATCTGTCAACAAAACTGACACCTTTTTTACGAGGAGTCGTGTTTGCATTGACCACAATACCTGCGGTCATAATGCAAACAAAAAAGACAACTCTGATAATGTATGCACTGTCCTTGAAGTTGATTGGTCCACACCCGAGACCGCTTTCCTTAGAGCCTAGTTTCACATGGGTTGGACCAGATGACGCATTATGGCTGCAGGTATTGTGGTCTATGCAAAGGTGTCAGTTTTGTTTGCCAGATAAAAGGGTAAAAAACCAATTATATATTTTTTGCTGGCAAATGAGGTTCCAATGGTAGCCATTTGCCACCCTGGTGCGGCCGGGTACGGGTAGGCCGTGAGTCACTGGTGAGTCACCGTTTGTCACTCATTTCGGGTAGGGTACGGGTAGGGAACGGGTAGGGACGGGTAGGGTACGGGTAGGGTACGGGTAGGGTACGGGTAGGGTACGGGTAATGAACGGGTAGGGTACGGGTAGGGTACGGGTACCCGTTTGCGACCCTGGTGCGGCCGGGTACGGGTAAGGAATCAAAACCCATCTGCGACCTCTGACCAGCCGTGCTCACCCCCCCACCCCCCGCCCCTCCCCCCTCCTCCTCCTCCCGCCCCGCCAGGAACTGCCGCGTGACGTTGGCGGAGCAGCGGCGCCTGAACGTGGCGACGTTCGGGGCGGACCTCCCCTCCTCTGGCCGAGGTGCAGCCTAGACAGGTGACGACCACGGTGACGGTGACAGCAGCTCGGCTTATTGGAGAGTATATTTAGTATATTGATGATACTGATGTAGTTTATATTTTAGTTTTTTTACGTGGTGGCCTTAGTTGCTGCAGCTCCCATACTATTAACATTCCTTCCCTTTCTAGATTTGAAGCTTTCGTGACTGCAAGGATTCGTATTCTTAGGTTTTTTCGGTAAGTCACGTAGGTAAAAAAAAAATGTATTAATAAAAGTTACATAAAATAAAAATCACGACGTTTCGGAGGCAACACCAAGCTTCCGGAAGCTTTTTTTATTTAACTTTTATTAATTTAAATTTTTTTACCTACGTGACTTTATCGAAAAAAACCTAAGAATATGATTCCTTCCCTTTATTAATGCTACCCCTACTCCCTCCCTTTTGATGCTGCTAATCCTGCATAATATGACTTTGAAACCCCCCGCCCACCTCCTACACATTCCACAAGTAGTGACTAATCCCATATCTGAATTTCCTATAAATATACTACATTCCTCTGTGATATGTGAGTCCCTTTGTCAAGGCGCTCTTCCTCCTCTAACCCAGCTTAAATATACGCTGCCAAGCTTAGTGGTGTTCATTCAGACGCTGTCTTTCCGGCTGCAACACGATAACGGAAGTCTGTTGATGTTGCTTGTGAGGTTCTCCTCGTGAGAACACGCTGCTCCGTGGAGGATGAGAGAGAGACCATTTGACGGGGTATGCCGATAGCATAAAAATGAGATGCGACGGCGGAGCAAATCTGAGATCAGATTTGAAATCGGCACCCTGAATTTAGTCCAGAACAGCTGCAAAAGTCCAGGCCAGAACTACATGTTGTTGTTTTGTTTTGTTGACCAGTGTGATATAATTTGCGTATTATATCGTGAACAACTTCTAAATCAAAGAGCGCTCGCACAGCTGCGTGGGTCTCACCCGGTGAGATAAAGATGTGGAGGAGTTTGTTTTCAAACGGCAGTCGCTTGTCAACGCTCTCGTGCCCCACGTTAGAGATTGGATGACACGGAGAAATGTCGGCCACAATCGGCAATTTCTCCAAGTGACAATCCAGCCCTTTGCGGGGTTTGACCACGATCTGTCGTGTTGCTTCTTGACGTCGCCAATGCCGCCTCCCTGCTGCTGTTGTTGTTGTTGTTGCAGGTTGCAGAGAACCACAGCTCACACCCAGAGCGTACACATATCGGGGGTTTGTTTGATTTAAAAAAAAATGTTGTTGGGTCTGAAGAAACGTTACGTTAAGGACTGCATGTGGGTTTCGATTTAAAGATTCTTTTCGTTGACTGCAGGGATTCATTTCTTGGTTCTTTCGGTAAAGTCACGTAGAAGGAAAATAATAAAATAATAAAAACATAATAAAATACAATTCTCACCACGTTTCGGCCACAACGCAAGCAGCCGTCCTCAGGTGAAGAACAGGTCTGTCGGAAAGACAGCGTCTGTCTTTCCGACAGACCTGTTCTTCACCACAACGCAAGCAGCCGTCCTCAGGTGAAGAACAGGTCTGTCGGAAAGACAGCGTCTGTCTTTCCGACAGACCTGTTCTTCACCACAACGCAAGCAGCCGTCCTCAGGTGAAGAACAGGTCTGTCGGAAAGACAGCGTCTGTCTTTCCGACAGACCTGTTCTTCACCACAACGCAAGCAGCCGTCCTCAGGTGAAGAACAGGTCTGTCGGAAAGACAGCGTCTGTCTTTCCGACAGACCTGTTCTTCACCACAACGCAAGCAGCCGTCCTCAGGTGAAGAACAGGTCTGTCAGAAAGACAGCGTCTGAATGAACACCACCAAGCTTGGCAGCAATATACACAGCAATATACGCTGCCAAACCTGGTGGTGTTTCATTCAGACGCTGTCTTTCCGACAGACCTGTTCTTCACCTGAGGACGGCTGCTTGCGTTGTGGCCGAAACGTCGTGAGAATTGTATTTTATTATGTTTTATTATTTCCCTTCTACGTGACTTTACCGGAAGAACCAAAAAGTCTGCATGTGGGTTTTGTTAATTGATACGCGATTCTTGCAATGTTTATGGTGTGTACACAAGGTACACACCGCGTTTGGTTGAACACTTTAGACGTTTATAATTTTAAAGAAAGTTTTTTACTTTAGTCTAATGGATGAAGGCAAAACATGTCTGTTAAGTCGGACTTTAAATTGTTTCCTGAAATGGGTGCTTTTGTGCGACCGGTCTTAATCTGAAATGAGCATGGACATGACAATTAATTGAGTTGTGTTTGTATTTCACAAGGCAGCATTAAATGTTGCGGAATTTATATTGGCGCATTGGCCGTGGTGAAGTGTCTGGCGAAGATTAAAGTTGACCGGCTGTTGGCTTTAGAACATTGCTTCTTGAATTTACTGCGTTGCTTTAGATTGCTAGTGTGTGTAGTGTGTGTACTGTGTGTGTAGTGTGTGGTACTGTGTGTGTACTGTGTGTGTACTCTGTGTGTGTACTCTGTGTGTACACTGTGTGTGTACTGTGTGTGTGTGTACTGTGTGTGTGTACTGTGTGTGTGTAGTGTGTGTGTAGTGTGTGTGTACTGTGTGTGTGTACTCTGTGTGTGTGTAGTGTGTGTGTAGTGTGTGTGTAGTGTGTGTGTACTGTGTGTGTGTACTCTGTGTGTGTGTACTGTGTGTGTGTACTGTGTGTGTGTACTGTGTTAATTTGTGTCTGACCAGCTAGTTGTGCCTCTGGCTGGTTCCATCTGGCCCGGCCCTCTAGCTGCTACCGTAGGCGCACACCAGCTCAACATCCCTGGTGAGTCGCTACAGTCAGCAGCTGCCAACGCCGACCCCGGGCGGCGGATAACTAACCCGGCAAACTCGGCTAGTCTGAGCCTGGGCGTGTGGAACCCCTGGTGGAGGAAATTTCCACCAAAACGGGTCTTTGGGACCTTCCACAGTTCCACTGCAACCAGGACCATCTCCAGTCGTCTTGACTACGTCTCGCCACTGGGTACAGATGCGGCTGGTCGAGAGAGTGAGGTTGACGCTGCGCAAATCACCCTCACTTCAATCCAAGTTCTCTGCGCAAGTCATAGCACTTTATTTACCATCGTCATTATAGTGTATAGTTATAGTAGTGTAGTGTATAGTAGTGTAGTGTATAGTGTAGTGTATAGTAGTGTATAGTGTAATAGTAGTGTATAGTAGTGTAGTGTATAGTAGTGTATAGTAGTGTATAGTGTAGTGTATAGTAGTGTATAGTAGTGTAGTGTATAGTAGTGTAGTGTATAGTAGTGTAGTGTATAGTAGTGTAGTGTATAGTAGTGTAGTGTATAGTAGTGTAGTGTATAGTAGTGTAGTGTATAGTAGTGTAGTGTATAGTGTAGTGTATAATAGTGTAGTGTATAGTAGTGTAGTGTATAGTAGTGTAGTGTATAGTAGTGTATAGGTAGTGTATAGTAGTGTAGTGTATAGTAGTGTGGTTGTATAGTAGTGTATTGTAGTGTAGTGTATAGTAGTGTAGTGTATAGTGGTGTAGTGTATAGTAGTGTAGTGTATAGTGGTGTAGTGTATAGTATAGTGTATAGTAGTGGTGTATAGTAGTGTAGTGTACAGTGTATAGTAGTGTAGTGTATAGTAGTGTAGTGTATAGTAGTGTAGTGTATAGTAGTGCAGTGTATAGTGTATAGTAGTGTAGTGTATAGTAGTGTAGTGTATAGTAGTGTAGATTTGTTTCTTGAAATAATTCCCGACGCCCCCCGAGCTCACAGCCTCTCACGGCCGCGTGCGTGCCTCCCAGTGTGCACCACCAAACGTATTCGGTTAGACCCCCTCCCTAGCTAGACTCACTCCCCGTGAGTCACCGAGTGCCGCTGAAGGTGGCGACGCAAAGCAAACCCCTTGCCGCACACTGCGCACACGTACGGCCTCTCCCCCGTGTGCTTCCTTGCGTGCACGTGCAAGCTGTCCACCTGCGTGAACCCCTGCCCGCACTCGTCGCACACGTACGTTCTCTCGCCCGCGTGCGTCCTGGCGTGCCTCTTCATGTCGGAGCAGCCGGGAAAACTCTTCCCGCAATCCTCGCAAACGTACGGCCTCTCGTCCGTGTGCGACCTCACTCGCAGGTTCAAGTTGCAGGCCTGCGCGGAGCCCTTCCCGTACTCCTCGCAAACGTACGGCCTCTCGTCCATGTGCGACCTCACTCGCAGGTTCAAGTTGAAGTCGTGCGCGAAGCCCTTGCCGCACTCGGCGTACACGTACTGCTTCTCGCCCGTGTGCGTCTCGAAGTGGGGAAAGCCGCACTGCCCGCACGCGTGCCGCCTGTCACCGGCAGCGCTTGCGGTCTTCTTGTCTGCTGCAAAGGTACGGACGGGCGGGGAGGACGGTGTGGTGGAGCATTGTACAACAGGCGTCAGGGTCGGGATCGAACCCAGGACCTCCTGTATACCAGGCGAGGTAGTCAACGTCTCATAGCCACCGTGATGATGATGATGAGAGAGAGATCGAACCCACGACCTCCGTATACCAGGCGAGGTAGTCAACGTCTGCTATCCACCGTGGTGCCACCGTGCTCACCAGCATCGATGTCTTGCAGGCTCTCCGTAGAGTCTGGCCGCTTCCCAAGTGCTGCATTATCGTCCATTTCTTGCTTGACGAATCTGGCGGGGGGAATGCAAAGAAAACAACGACAATGACGTAGACAACCAAATAGATAAATAATAAATATATAAATGTTGCACCGTCGTTAAACCCGCCACCACCCGACACAGCCATTTAGTTAGGTTTAGTACAACAGGAACAGACCGTGCCAATTCATTACGCAGTACGGCACTACTGTGGAGTGTATAGTGTAGTGTATAGTTTATCCACCGGCTGTAGTAGTAGCTATCCAAACTCTATAATAGTACTAACTTCACAGCGTGTAGTGGTGAGGCTTAGTCCCGTGCAGAGCCCCTAGCCAGGCTGTGGCTGGGCAATACCCCCCCCACCACCATCCCCCCACCCGCTCTACAATAATTTCATCCAAGGA